GCTGCAGGACCACGCAGTTCATCTTATAGATGAGAAAACAAACACTCAGAATAAGTGTGATGTGCACGTGAATTTTCTCTCTCAAAATACCTCTTGGTCCTGAACTCATGCTTCTTCTTTTTTTTTTTAAGATTTATTTATTTATTTATTTATTTTACAAAGTCAGATATACAGAGAGGAGGAGAGACAGAGAGGAAGATCTTCTGTCAGGTGATTCACTCCCCAAGTGACCACAACGGGCCAGTACTGTGCCAATCCAAAGCCTGGAACCAGGAACTTCTTCCGGGTCTCCCACGTGGGTGCAGGGTCCCAAAGCTTTGGGCCGTCCTCAACTGCTTTCCCAGGCCATAAGCAGGGAGCTGGATGGGAAGTGGAGCTGCCGGGATTAGAACCAGTGCCCATATGGGATTCCGGGCGTATTAAAGCTGAGGATTTTAGCTGCTAGGCCATGCCGCTGGACCCCTGAATTCATGCTTCCTGTGATAGTGTGAGATGGGACAATCCCTGCCCTGTGAAATGACAAAGGCATCACCATGTAGCATCAGGCAACCGTTGGCCTTCTGAAGATGTCAGAAAGATCACCCAGTTGATGTGGGGAACTGAAAACACAGAAGGCCAAACAGTGGATGAGAGGGGACCGCTGTCTGTAAGGAGTGTCTCTTTATCCTTCTGCTCTCTGTTCCGTGGCATTTTCAAGTAAGAAGGGAACTCAGTTGCAGCTCACTAGACTTCAAACCATGTTCCAGAGAGTCCGGTGCACCTGCAGAGAAGCCCCTCGGAGGTAAGGGGAGGGCTCAGGAGCTCGGTGCACCTGCAGAAGAGCCCTTCAGAGGCTAGGGGAAAGTCGGGGAGGCACAGACTCAGCACCGCTTCCGACTACTCTTCCTCCCAGCCTCCAAAAAGAGCTCTACATTTGTCTGTTTTCTTCAAGGGGGTTTTGGGTAGAATTTCATCAGGAGGAACTTTTTATTTTTTTCAAAGCTACGTCTGGTGCAGTCTACTCATTGAATTACCATCCAGGAAGCCGAGGCCTGGGAAATGAAGAATCAGGTGATCCTTTCCTCGTAATGTGAAATCCTCTTCCCCTGTGATCCCAATCCCACTTTTAATGACAACCACTTGACTCCTTAAGGCCGTATCCACTCTGGTCTGGGTCCCCTGTGCTAGTTAAGCTAAACTGAAAGATCTGATTGCTCATGCCCTTGCTGTTACACAGCTCTGGCTATTGTGGTGAGCCTTTGTAATTCTGATTATTTGAAAGTTCTTTACTGCAGTCAGTCTTTGGTTTTTAGAAAATACAATTGTCCAGTTCAAGCTGTACTGAGTTCCTTTTAAAAAGCTCCAATTAGATTTTCCTGGAATACAGGCCAGATTTTTAAAACACTTGACTTTCTTAAATTCTGTTGAATATTTCCTAAAAACCAAGTATTACCCTCGCACGAGGACCTTGTTAGGCTTTTCTGTATCGTTCCAATTATAGTATGTGTGCTGCCGAGACAAGCACAAAAACTTAAGTATTTCCAAGGGACCTGTGAGTTCCCTTAAGTTCGGTTCCGTAAGAGGGCAAGTGGCCAACTTTCCCCTAGACAACAAGGGCTGGTGCTTGGGCTACCATTAAAAGCAAGGTGCAGTTCTGGTGGGAACATGAAAAGGGTGAAAGAGAAAAGGAATATCTGATAGTTTAAATTTCAAAGAAAAGTACCTGAGTACTCGCCGTAGGTGGTAGGGATCAGAACTCCATAGTGTGCTGCTCTGTCTATGGGGAGTAACACCTGGAAATAACACCTTTAGCTTTCCATGCTGGAGCCCTAGGGGTCTTGATCTGACCTGACCTGCCCACCTCTTGGGCTGCCTACGCAGATTCAGGAGATAACTGCCCCTCGAGGGTCTTGGTGCTTTCTCTCTGGGAAATGAGTTTGCCCCAGGTGAAAGGTATTTATGAAATAGTTGGAGAATGAAGCCCCTTGGTCAACTCACCCAACAGGCCTAGTGGCTCCATTTGCAACAGGATCAATTTCCCCTCTTCCAGGGCAGGTTGGCCTTCAGGGGATTGCCCTTGAGTTCAACTCTCGTTGGCTAGACTCCTCCCAAACAGGACAGAAAGCATTCAGGAAGTTGATGTGGAACACAACAAAGACCTACAAAGCAATGCATGGCATCACTCTGCACAAGAAATCCTAAGGAAGGTTGTTGGAACATGTCCGTGTTGATGTTCACGATGTGAGGAGTTGCCAGCCCTGAGAATGAAAGCTCTGTTGCTGAGAGGAGATGTGGAAGCATTCAGTGTGTTTTCCTTATCATTTCTACGGATGCATTTGAAGAATTCCATTCTCCCCAGGAAAAGGAGACAGAAATTTTAGTATTTATGGATCTCTGTCTTAACAAATAATGTGTGATATTTTATGGGGGTGTAAACATGTATCCAGGACTGAAGTGTGAATTGCTGATATATGTAGTAGTTAATATCTGTCGATGTGTATGTGTGTGATTAAGAGTGTGAAAGCAATCCAAACAAAAATGTGGGTTTGTAAATGTTTGGGAATGGAAAAGGTTAAACCACACACAATCAAAACAGATGTTTTAATAAGTTCTCAACTATTTCAATAAAATGTCTTGATTTTCTTCATATAAAGAAAGGCCGGGGTGGGGGAAGAAATGGGTTATATCTCTTTGTTTTTGCTAAGTAAGATTTTTGGCAGCAGAAAGCACAGACACCCAGCTGATAGAGAGCATGTTTGTTTGTTTGTTTGTTTGACATGGAGAAGGCTCCTAGTGGCCATGTGGAATGAAACCTGCCAGTGAGGAGTTGTCTGGTCCTTGATGCTGATCTGTGTGCTTGGTCTCATTACTGAGCACTGAAACCTGGGATGAAGGGGACGGAAAGGGGAGACATCCTCATTTCTAAGCTAATTGGAGATCATTGGGAAAGGGAGGGAGAACCTGGGTAGTGTGGACAGCCTGATGGTTATAACACAGGAGCTCAGCTCATGTTTCTTCTGATGAGTTCCAAGGCAAAAAAAAAAAGAAAAAGAAAAAAAAAAGGTATAGTCTGCAGGAGCTGGTGGCAAAGCTGCCCTTTCTACACAATACCTGGCCCAGGAGCTAAGCAGGGTGGAAAATGCGCTCCCCTGCTCAGCTGGATCAGAGCAGCTGGTGCTCCACGTCCCTGCATCCCTGCCTGCTTCAAGCATCGCTCCCAGGCCCATTTAACATCCTTGAGCCAGGACCTGTGAGCCTCTGTGGCTGGAGGATGCTGGGTGCCCTGTGGGTGAGCGCCGCTGGGCACACCTAGAAGGCCTGCAGCATTGGCTGCAGAGCAGGGGGAGACACCCTGCTGACCTCATGGCTGGCCTCCCCTCTGGGTGGGGGGGCAGGAGGGCAGAGCCCATTGTCCTCCTGGACTGGGGAGGTGCAGGGTCATTAGGTAGAGGATGATGTGGTGTCTGCCAGCCTGCGGAAATGACTTGCTTTTGTTTTCTACACAGTAGGAAATGGACCTGGATCCATTAGATTCTGGGCAGTTCAACACCGCACAGTTTGAGCTCTGGGAGGCTGGATGCCGAAAAGGCTACTTGTGTGAATTTGTGTCCCAACCACCATTGTGCCGTGTGCCCATCATTTATGCATTTAAAGCCTGTCAGGCTGGTGGTGTGAAGCAGAGGTCTGGGAGATGGTAATGCCAGCAGACACCAGGAATAGGAAAGTGCACCTGTAGAGTTAAAAAATGCATGACCCATTCCCTGAATGAGTGAATATGGGAGAAAGACCCCGTCCTGAAGGGGGGCTGCTGAGCTGTGATACATAATTCACAGGCCCATGCTGCTCCATGCAGATGGCGATATTAAATCGTGATTGATGCTAAGAGACGCACACATCTCAGGAAGGTCTCTAAGAGGCTTCTGAATATTTGCCAGTCTCTGGTGTCTTTCTGTTCGAGTGATATTAAGCAAACCCCCACCCCAGCTCCCCGGAACCCATGCTGAGGAGTTCACACTCCCCTTGCTGAGAGAGGGGCTCCTTTAAATGTCATCTCCCACCTTTTCTGCCTTTGAAAGTGCCCCCCTCCCTCCTGGCTCACAGACATGCTGGGCTGGTAGGGGGGGCGGCCAGCTGCTCCTGCCTGCCATGGCTGCTGTCTCTCATAGACTGGCTACAGCTGGACAAAGCAGCAGCACACTCTGGTGGCAGTGACCGGGCGAGGAGCACCAGTGGACAGCAAGTGTGGCCAAACACCCAGGAGTGCCTTCACACAAAGCAGCTTTGTGGAAATGCTGATCAGAGTCAGTGGATTCTCCAGTACAGACTTTTCCACTCGGTGTGTAATGAAATAATAAATCAAATTTGTGGTGGATGTGGAATTAAATGTTTGGAGGTTTTTCTTTCTTTCTTTCTTAAAAGAGAGGAGAAATTTAAAAAGAAAGAAAGGCTGAAATCACCCTCCAGGGTCTGCTCTGGCCCAAAACTGAAAGTGCTTCCTCCTTACCACATGTAATTGCTAGCAGGCTCGCCTTGTGGGTCGGCACCACAAAACCACTATTGTCAGTTCCCGGAGCTTTGAGTACTGGCTGCCTTGGCTGGGTTGGGAGACACCAAAGAAAATGAAGAATTTATGAGATAAAGATAGAGATGGGAGGTTTGAAGGAGAGGGAGATGGGCCAAGAAAAGGCGGGAGGCATGTAAAGTGTGCAGCCTTCTTGTTTTTGTAATCTCCGAGCATGTAATTGGGAATATTTACGGCCATTTCATGGAACGGTTCCGTGTGTGTGTGTGTGTGTGTGTGTGTGTGTGTGTGTGTGTGTGTGTAGTGAGTGGGCTGGGCTGAAATAATCTCTTCCACTGAATGAGTAAGTGGGTTAGTCTTCTGGACTGCCATAAAAGGACTGCAAAATAGTTGTAATCAGCCGCTGGGAGAGAAGAGACACAGGGGGAGGGAGGAAAAAAAAAATAAGAGGAGGCTGTAGCATATTTGAAGTTCTTTGGTTTGTTGCTTCCTCTTCTAGATCCACCGTGTGGAGGCCGTTTGAATTCCAAAGATGCTGGCTACATCACCTCCCCGGGTTACCCCCAGGACTACCCCTCGCACCAGAATTGCGAGTGGATTGTGTACGCCCCCGAGCCCAATCAGAAGATTGTCCTCAACTTCAACCCTCACTTTGAAATCGAGAAGCACGACTGCAAGTAAGCACCTCTCCTTCTGCTGCCATGTCCTTCCCTCTCCCAGAGCGTCAGTCACACTTCCCACCTAACCCTCCGTCACCTCCTGGCAGCGCCCTCGCCCCAGGACCTGCCAGGGCCTCAAGATGACATTCTCTCCCCGTGGGACCCCGTAGCATGCGAAAAAGAAGCTTCCCGAGGGAGGAGGGCAGAAGCTGGTGGAGGAAAAACAACCATGTGGCTCTGAGGGTGGACCACAAACTCTCCTGGTGACTTACCTTGCCCTGGGAGGTGGTCCCCTTTTCACTAGGGAGACATGTGGGAACCCCACCAGCTTCCTGAAACAGTGGGCTGGGCCCCCTGTGGAGATTTCCTTCCCCAACCCCCCCCCCCCACAGCTGTTTCCTGATGAAGTGGCAGCTGGTGTCTTTAGAGTCTAGCATCCCAGTGTAGGTCCCTATTGATTCTTACTATCTGTGCGGCCCAGGTGAGAGGAGCAGAGCTGCTGTCAGAGATTGATCGAACATCACCGTTCCCATGGCTTTACAAGCATTAATGCATTCGGTCCCCCACCTCCCTCTGAGACCCTCGGCACTGCCTGCCCTCAGAAAGTCCATATTGCACAGGAGGGAACTGAGGCGCAGGGAGGTGACCTCAGGACCCCAAGGTGACTCAGCTAGTCTCGCCACGTGATGTCAGTCCTGCCATCCTCAAAGTCTGCAGCTCAGGAGATGAGCAGATGAACCCTGGGCTGTTCGCGCTTTGGACGTGCAATGCGAACACCAAGGTCCTTGAAGGTGAAGGTGAAGAAGCAGGCACTGTTGTAAGTCAATAATAAGGATGTGTGCCGCACAGTGAGCCCATCTGAACTTCTTTTATATATTTATTTTTATTGAAAAAGTAGATTTACAGAGAGGAGAGACAGAGAGAAAGGTCTTCCATCTGCTGGTACACTCCCCAGTTGACTGCCACGGCCAGAGCTAAGCTGTTCCGAAGCCAGGAAGCAGGAGCCAGGAACCATTTCTAGGTCTCCTGTGTGCAGGGTGCAGGGTCCCAAGGCTTTGAGACATCCTCTATTGTCTTCCCAGGCTAAAAGCAGGAGCTGGTTGGGAAGTGGAGCAGCCAGGACAGGAACTGGTACTCATATGGGTGCATGCAAGGAGAGGATTTAGCTACTGAGCCATCGCACCCGGCTCCTTAAGATATTTTTAAAGAAAATATTTATTTATTTGGAAGACAAAGACAGAAAGAGACCTTCCATCTGCTAGTTCACTCCTCCAAATGGTCATGATGGTCAGGGCTGGGCCAAACAGAAGCCAGGAACTTAGAGCTCCATCTGGGTTTCCTACATGGGGACAGGTGTCCCATTACAGCTTCCATTGTCCACTGCTTTCCCAGGCATAATAGCAGAGAGCTGGATGGGAAGCAGGAGAGCCAGGACTCGAACGGGTACTCTGATATGGTATCCAGCGTCACAGGCGGTGGCTTAACCTCCTGTGCCACTACGCTGGCTCATCATAATGTTCAGACTGTGCAGAAAGGACTGTGATAACAGGCATTCTCTCCAATGAGTAGCTACAAGTGTGTGGTTGCCCTGAAAAGCATTCTGTGGTCCCATCTGCTTATCAGGAGCCTGAGCAGCCCTCGAAGTGAGGGATTGTAGGTCCCAGAATGTCCATCAAGGAGCCAGCAAGAGGGGCGGGAAGAATGGAGCTGGTGAGACTTCCGGCGATCATCTTAGAGCAGGCCTGGATCCATCCAGGGCATCCTTGGGAAGGACACCTCCTGTCTGCAGATGTGGCTTGCGAGGCTCAGGGAATGGACGCCGTTCTGAGCCTCCTTGGACTGTTTTGCACCTGCAGGAGGCTCTTCTCCCATTGAGGGGTGACCTTTGTTGAAAAGGGAAGTTTGCCTCATAGATGTCTCATGTGGGTAGGATTCACCAGAGGGAGTTTCTAAGCCCAGATCCCCCCCTGACTCACTCGGCAACAGTGGGTAGTTCCCACATTCTTTCTCCAAGCCCCTTGGACTGCCCCTGGATGCATGTGCTCAGTGTCTCCAGGCTTCCCATTCCCTGCTGGTGAACTTGACCAAGCATTTCTGTTCAGAGAGCATCTTCGTCAGGCCTTTGGGTTCACGTGCTTCTGCTGGGTTGCAGCAGTTGGCACAGACGTCAGCATAATGTACAGAGTGCTGGGGTCTGGGCTCCGAGAAACTTGACTAAGCACCTAGCTCTCCCGACACAGGGCCAAATTCTGTTATGCTTAGGAAAGCAAATCTCCCAGGCCGACTGTGAGGAGGTCATTTTCTGTAGACTCACGGTGGCTGAGGCAGAAGCTGCGGCTTTTGGAAGGGGGAAAAAAAAAAGATTCAGGAACTGGAGGCTTCAAGCATGTTAGGAAGCTGGAAAAGCCACAGAAGCAGGCTCCTGCCTTGCTTTGGGCTGCTGTGGGTTCCCCCTCCCCTTTCCAGAAGCCAGTGCCAGCGATGAGGGAGAGCCCTGGCCTGCCAGAGCCCCTGGCAGCAGAAAGGGACCAGCCGCTGGCCCTTGCCGGAGCTGGGGCAGGGAAAGCAGCTGGCTCCTGAGGCTCACTCAGCAGCATCCTGTGTCCCTCCGCCCCCCCCTTCCTTATCCCGTGCTTCTGGCTGGAAGATCAGGAAGGTCAGATGGAGAGCGTTCTGGCTTCTCTTTCCCCTGAGCGCCAGATTGTCAGAGACGCCCTGTTGGCATTAAGGCTCGACTACTTCACTGCGTCCTGAGTTCTGCCCAAGTCCGCTGCTTCTTTCTCATTCTTTTTTTTTTTATATTTAGAAAAGCCTCTCGCTCTTCAAGGTAGGGCTGCCAGTTTCCCTTGGCTGGTTGCACACAGAATAAACGGCCTTCGCCCTCTGGCCTGCCCTGTTTTACTTTCTTGTGAAAAGAACAATTAATGTCATTGAAGTCCTGGAAGTTCTGTCTCATGGCTGCCCTCCTTCCCTCTCCCTGCCTCTTGGCGGGCTCTTCCCTCCCAGGAAGCTGCTGAGCATTTATTTGCTCTCAGAGGCACTTGGCCTCCTTCCCCCTTCCCTTTGGGCTCCTGCTGCTAATTGCGCCTGGCTCTTGAGGTGGGTTCTTCCCCAAAGAGCACCGCTTCATTGTCCTTCTGACCTGTGGCACAGTGCTAGCACCCTGGCAGAAAGGGGAAATGAGTAAGAAAGTCAGGATGAAAAAAAAGCAGCCAGCCCAGCAGTGGAGGCACACTGGTCCCCATGGCTACCCGTGGGCTTTTGCTTCCTTCTGCCTGCAGGATTAACCACAAGGACTGCCCCCACTGTCTTGGCACTCCGGGACCTCCTAGGACAGGATTAGCTCCCCTGCTCCAGAGGCCCAGCTCTGGACTGTGCACCCTGAAATCTACGTGTGGAAGGTCCAGGCTGTGGCTGACTAAATCCCAGACAGACCTTTCCCACTAGCAGCCACTGGGACTCGGGTTCCACTTCATCCTGCTCTCTGGTTGGAAAATTTCACTCACGAACTTCAGCTGGCCTGAGTCAGTGCTAGCCAAGGCCACCGTGTCTGCTGATCTTCCGCTGACTCCTCCCCCTGGCAGTGGGCCGGAACCCAAACCCAGAGCACCCACCCGACTGCTCCAGGCCCCACTTAGCAACTGGGCATGGCGGGGCGGGAACAGAAAGAGGAGGCTGTGGTGCCACCGCCAGGTCCCCCCAACCCCGTGGCCAAGGACCCATGGGGGGCAGGAGTCGGTTCTGTCTGGGCAAGGCAGAGAGAAGCCACTGTGCTCCCCGGGTGAGAAGTGGAGGCTGCCTGAGGCTGCTGTCTTCTTGCACGGAGGCCTGGAGCTTGAGTCATCAAGCAGTGTTAGGGGTTTTACAAACACACCAAGTTGAGCATTCTTTCCATTTCTGAGATTTAAAATGTATTGTGTGGTGTGAGATCCAGCTTGTGTGTGTGAGTCCGCAAATGGTGGGGGAGGGGGACAGCTTCCTTTCTCCCGTCTCGGAGGCCCAAACAGATTACAAAGCAAAGCCAAGAGTGAGAGTCCCTTGAAAAACTGGTCATTTCCAGAGAAGTGGCTTGAAAAATGTTTCAGGAAGAGCACAAGCCAGTAGGAAGCCTTGCAAGAGCACAGGTTAGGGTGAAACCTTGCACAGTAGTTGGCACTCTACCCCGTTGCAGAGCACTGCTCCCCTCCAGCAAAATACCCGGCTACTACTAAAACTTCCAGTTTATGTTCTTCTTAAAAGGATTTCTGACTTTAAAAAAAAAAAAGAGGTTTATTTTGCTTTTATCTGAAAGGCAGAGTTGTAGAGAGAAGAAAAGAGAGAGAACCGTCTTCCATCCACTGATTCACTCCCCACATGGCTACAGTGGCCAAAGTAGGACTGGTCTGAAGCCAGGAGCTTCTGCCAGGCTTCCCACATGGGTACAGGGACCCAAGGACTTTCCATCCTCTTCTGTTTTCCCAGGCCATAAGCAGGGAGCTTGATGGGAAGTGGAATAGCAAGGACATGATCCAGTGCCCCTGTGGGATGCTGGTGCCACAGGCAGATGCTTAACCTACTATACCGAGTTGAAACCTCTGACTTTATTAAAAACCAACAACAACAACAAAAAAACCAGAAAAGCTCAAAGTTGACATTCATGGGGGTCACCTTTTCCTGATGATTCTTTTTTAAAAGAAGACTTAGAGAAAAGAAAGACAGAAAGAATATGTCACCCATTAGATTACTCCCCAGATGTCTGCAGCAGCCAGGAGGGGAGCCGGGCCAGCAGGTCGGGCCATAGCCAGGAGCCCGGAACTCTAACCTGGTCTCCCACAGGAATGGCAGGGACCCAAGACCTTGGGTCAAGTTCTACTGCTTTCCCAGGAACATTAGGGGATCAGAAGCCAAGCAGCCAGGACTTGATCCAGCACTGCAATATAGGATACCGCTGTCACAATCAGTGGCTTAACATGCTGGGCCACAACGCCAGCCCAGAATTCTGTTGTGAGTTTCACTTTGGTGACAGTAGGCAGGTTTTG